GTGCCCGCTCGCCACTCAGCAGCAGCAGCAGCAGCAGAACGCTGCAGCAGCCCGCGGCAGCTGCAGCAACGTTGGTGTCTCATCTCAAAGTTTGTGGAGGCGGAAGAGCAGGTCTTGAGATCGCAAGTGGGAAACCAAACGCCGCTAAAGCCTAAACCCTAAACCCTAATTTGGTGTCTCTAGGTCCAGCTTTCATTTCGAACTGTTGATGCATGCAACTTATGTTCTGCTAGGATAGCCCAGGGTTTAGGGTTTAGGGCTTAGCGTTGAGATGACAGTGCTGTGGTTTGCGCGCTCTAGGTGGGGTTGGGTCTGTACACTGCGTTGCAAGTGGCCATCTGTCTAGACACCCCAGAGAACGACCCGCAGGGCTGCGTCTGGAGCAGCTTGCTGCTGCTGCTGCAGGAGCTGCGGGCTTCCAATCCTCTGCTATTTCTGCCCTTCTCGGCCCATGCGCCGGGGCTGTTGCTTCCAGAGGCAGCAGATGCCCCGCAGCAGCAGCAGCAGCAGCCGCAGCAGCAAGAGGTGCTGAAGCAGCTGAGCGAAGTGGAGGCGCCGCACGTCTGCTGCCTTCTAGGGTGTCTTGGGTCTCACTGCGACGTCAGCTTGCCGAGCGCCGCAGCAGCAGGAACAGCAGCAGCAGCAGCAGCACGGCAGAACCACCTGGTGGCTGTAGGCTGTTTTGTGGCTCAGGCCGCGTCGACGCTGATGCACTTGCACATGCAGCAGCAGCTGGAGAAGCACCAGCTGACAGCAGGCGCGTTTATGGGCCTGCAGCACCTTTCCGAGGTGCGTAACTTTTTGTTTGGAATTGGGACTCCCCCCTGCTGGCTGCCGCTGCAGCGAGAGCTTGCTGCCTCTCTGTGCAGCAGCAAGAACCCTGCGGCTGCAGCAGCTGCGGCAGCAGCCCGTGCAGGCTCGCTGGATCCGGGTGTGGCAGCAGGCGCTGCTGCTTTTGCTGCATGCACGTCTATGCCCTGTGGCGTTGACCTTCCCGGGGCCATCCCTCGGCCTCCGCCCATGACGGTCCCACCCCCCCCTCCCCCCCCAGCAGCAGCAGAAGCAGCAGCAGCAGGAGCAGGAGCAGCAGCGGGCACCGCACCCGCCCCACCGCCCTGCGCCGCAGCAGGAGCCGAGCTGGCCTCCGCGTCCGCGTCTCGCGTTTCGAGCGGGCTGGTGCTGACCAGCGTAGCGGCACCGAGCAGCAGCAGCAGCAGCAGCAGCTACGGGGGCTACTGGCG